TGCATGATCCACTGTCCAATGGCCGGATCAAAGGCCGTTTGGGGGCGAAGCCTTGATAGCGGGGGACCCACGAGCGAGTTTTTCATGGTTGCCCTTTATGACTCTTATGTAAGCAAGACCTTTCAGCAAAAAGGACACACTTGCAACATTCAGAAGCAAAATCATTGCGACTATCGCTCAGAGGACCACATGGGTTGTTTCAGGGCAACTGGGTCCCAACTTGAACAGAAGAGTTCCGCCGATGAACGATCATGATTGATCCAATGTGTAAGAGCCAGCTTGGTGGTCTGTTCCTTGGCATCCCAAACGAGGAAAGAAGAACGCGAAAAACGTCGTGGAGCGACCCGTGACAGGACCGGCAGGTTCTTCCGCCCCGCCTGGTTGGCCGTGGAGGTCACCACGTCTTCCAGGATCTGGCGCAGTGCGACGCGAGCGCCGAGCAGCGCCCAGGTGGTCGATCGGTCAGGAAGTCGACATCGAAACTAAGTGGTTTTTTGCAGGTCAGTTGGCAGCCGGAAAGTCGTCTCCAAACGACCATGCCAGGAATTCTGTCATTGATGTCATGGGAGGTGATCCAAGTGACCACCTACTAGGTCAAAGTAAGATCCGATCGACCATGGCGGTGGCCCTTCCCTGTTCACCCGGAGGATTTGACTTCCCAAGCTGCCCTTCCACACAGTACGACACATCAGTCATGTTGACCACCTCGCCTCAAATCTTTGTCTCCTCGTCCTCATCCAGGAATTGCAGGATCATCCAGAAACCCATGATGGGTTTCAGAAACCATGGGTTGCTTTTCAGAAACCATGGGTCCTGATTTGAGTCATGGGTTTCTTTTTTTCTCATATCAGGACCTTCTCCACAAACCTCCCAGACTCACCCCGGACTCACCTTGGCGAACTGGTTCTGCTGCAGCACGTTGCTCTCCAGGCCGTCCACCTTCGCCTCGGAACGTCATTCGGGTATTCACGCGGGTGAAACGATGCGCTTTGGGGAACCAAAGGTGCCGGGGTCAAAGGCTAGCGCAAGCAGCGAGCTCCATAGCTCGCCGTGTGCCCCGAAAGGTGCCTGTGGCTGCCTGGGGCTCAGCCTGCCGTCTATGCCTCTGATGGGTTTTTAAGCTTTTTCGCCCCCCTTTTTCATGTCTGGAGGAGACCCAGCAAGTGAGGGAGACGAGCCAGCCAAGCAGCAATCTGCAAGTTCTGTTCCTCCACACGGGATAGGAGGTCCTGCACGGTACAGCGAGGTGGCTGATGTACTCTCCCTGGAACTAACCTGGAAGTGGACAACCACCTGTTTGTAGTGGAAAATGGTCTTCCAAGAGACAATTCTCCACTTCCATGTTAGTTCCAGGGAGTGTATATGCCATGCATCAGGCGTGAACTTTCTAAGTCAGTCTGTATGTATGTTGCTGACGGATGGCATATACAGTTTGGCCATCGGCTGGAGTCTCCTCAGTATAATCTGGCATGAACAGAAGGACATCGGTGGAAATCTATATCATGCAGAGTCTTGATTCATCAAACCTCCCATATACATCATATAAAATCATGTTAAAATCCAAATGGGAGGTTACCAGTCACAAGATGTCACAAGTCTACATCACAAGTCCGCCCTGAAAAGAATCATCCCCTTCCCGTGGAACAACACGCACGTGCTTCCGCTCCGCCAAGAGAGCTTCCACCCCGCACCCCGCACCCTGAAGCCGAAACCACCCAAGAAACCCAAAGCCAGCCAGGAGCTGTTGGGATGCAACTCGTCATGTTTGAACATGGTTAAAACCCCGCGTCTTCGCCACGTCTGCCACGAGCTCGAGCTCCGAGCAAGTCCCACGTCCTTCTGCTTTCCCTCGAGCTCCGAGACTTGTGCCAAGGTCGGTCTTAAGACCCGGAGCACCTCGGACCAGGTCGGACCAGGGGGGTGGGAGAAAAGCTGGGCAAAGGTGGACGCCCCAGTGGCCAAGTCGAAGTGGCTTCTATTTACTTGGGATCTTCCAATCCAAGGTCTATCTAGTATATACAGTATGTATATACTTGTGTATATGTATAATATGCTGCAATATACAAAACATATGGGGCTGAAAAGGAATGCACACACTGTCTTTACCTGGATGTTGGTGCAACAACTTACTCTTTCAACCGACAGTGCTTTACAACAAATCAACAAATGATCCACCCACCTTTGACCATCTCCAACATCACATGCTCCACCGTGCTCCAATATGCTCCAATAAAGAACGTCCGCCCCCTTCCCTGTTCGGCGGTCCCCCCACGGAGTCGCGCAAGCGCGTCTCCATCTCCGCGGCCATGATCTGAGGCGGGTGCGAAAGCAGTGCTCAGTGGCACGGTGGTGCCGGCGATCAGAATTATGGCCATGTAGAGGCCGTGATGTTTGCTACTGAAGGCCACCAATCGTAACAACGTCATAAGGCCTTTGAAGATCTTTTGATCGGCCTTGCTCACCAAGTGATTTCAACACTCGACTGCGAGGTGTCTCACCGAGCCATTTCAGCTGCCAAACTTTTTGATTGGTCCCGGCGGCGGCCTCGATCTCTTTGAAACGCGGCCTCAGTCGTTTTCTCACGATCTCGTGCATGCATCAAATGTCCCAAAGACTGGAGAGGTCAAGCTAGGGAGCTTGTCATGAAACAAACTCACGGACCCGTGCAAAAGGTACAATATTGACAATCATTGCTGACCATACCACCCAAGGGCGAGCTGGTTGTATTGAGCCTTTTGGGATGATCTGTGCCAAATGTGCCGGCAACAGTGTGAGCGTGCGCCAAACCTCCACACCAAACATGTTGGCCTTGAAGCCTTGAAAGACGGACTACACGCTGGATGTCTTCCAAGTAAAGACATGTCCGTTCACCGTCACTTGTGGGACGTTGGCCTTTGCCCCTTCTACCCCACCTTGTCACCAGATTTCCTCCAAACAGAACCTGAGACTGGAATCATGGCATGTCAGGTCGTCCTTTTCGGACTCTAAGACTCCTAGCCTCCTCGACTCCCCAGCTCCTCCGCCCTCGACGCTCGCGGTGACCCGGGCTCCGGGGCCCATCGACTTCGACACTCATCTTCGATGAACGGCGATGCCGGGGTCGAAGCCTCCCACGAGGCTGGCTGCCCGATGGGGTGATCCGTTTTGGGATGGTTGGGATGGTATGGCAAGCCTCCTCAAGCCTCCAGCACTTTGCAATTGGCTCTTGGACCTCTGGACTTACAGAATCTTATAGAATTGTAGAGGTGATCTCAAGCTCTTGCTGGCTTCTAGCAAGCATGGATAGGCCAGTACCACCTCTTGAAAGGGTCGCTCGGCGCACGCGTGGCGCGCTCGTGCCTTGGGCTTCCCCCCAAAAAATTGCCTCGGATTCGGGGAGCCTTGTGTCCGTTTCCAACACGGGGGGCCTCCTGGATGATCCAATGGTGTTTTCACTCTGTTGACCCTCAGGGTGTCAGAAATAGCCATGTCATGCCATATCATCCTGGGTTTCTTTTCAAACATGGATGCAAACATTGCAAGGTGTCACGATGACAGCACATGTGTTTCCTTCTGGGATCGGGGGTCTCTGCTTGGGTGCTGTTCCCAGGGGCCCGACAAACACCCACGTACCATGGGGAATGCCATGCAAAAACATTAGGCAACCCAAAAGCCAATCAGAGATCCAATTAGTTCAGTGGTCAAAAAGTTGACTATAGTCGACTGACGCGGTAAACTCGAGGGAGAATTTAGTCCCTATGTCCGCCGTAGGCGTGCAAATTGGAACATTTTGGAACAACGAAAGCGAACGTACACAGGGCGTAGCTCCAGCCACTTTGACATACACCCACGGCCCTTGCGATATGCTTCATGAACCTTTGCCAATCTGAGTCTCAGGCCCCCTAGGGCCCTAGGGCCGTCGCGTTCGCGTCGTGGCCACTGATCCGTGAGCCACAGGACAGGAAAAACCAACAACGTCAATGGCGTCCACGTTCTGCCCATCCAAAACGGTCAGTTTGCGCATCTTTGCACGTATGGTCCACCAAGCTAAACCAATCAGGTCACCCAAGATTGTGACCCCACTGTGCTACCTGAGTTCAACTGAACATGGTCCTGCTTTGAGGTTCAACAATGGTCTATGCACAAGTCCTAAAGCCTAAAGCATTAAAGCGGGGGGGGGGCCTGTACGACCCAATCTCATCCAACTGCAATTGCTCGTGCATGCCTACCCCCAACCAGCCAGTGAAGCACCCTCTGTAATTTTGACCCGCCAACCTACTTGAACATTTGAACACTTGGTGCAACCATCTTGGTTGCCCTCAAGCAGGACACCAGGAAGCCAAATTGTTGGAGCGAGTTCATCCCGCCATCTAAAACGATGGTCTCTTAAGCAGTGGTGCTGTCTAGAGTTTAGTATGCCTACTTCCTGGACTATATAAGCAAGAGTCCTGACCGACTACCTTGATCCCGCCTTCGCTACTGCTTTTCACAGAAACTCAGCGAAGCATCTGAAAACTTGGGTGCGGCTCGCAGCTCCAAGAGCGTCCGGAAGCCGCCCATCGCACGAACAACTGGCCCATGTCACGAAATTCGTTGTTTTTCTCAAGCCATGCTGCAAGCAAGGCTGCCCCGTGGATTGCTCCCATCGCTTCCATCCCAATGGGTGCGGTTCATATGGGTTCAGCGATGGAGCGACCGGACGCCCTGGGCAAGAGCTTTGAGCCCCGAAGAGTCCGAAGAGGGCCATTCGATTGATGGCGAACGTGTAGCTAGCGATGTCTGGGGGGCTTTCAGGTGCCAAAGAAGTCAAATCAAACATGTTCTAATGTTTGTCCCCCTTGCGAGCAATTCCTCCAAACACACATTCCTGCGATACAATTAGCCATCCAAACTAACTAGGACCAGGACCTAAAAAGGATCGTAGCTAGACATACTGGTGCCACAGCACTTTGAGTGCTCGGCATATCTGCACCTCAAAAATAGGGCTCTCTCAATGAAACGACAACTCCATGGAAGTGAACCACCGCTGAGATTTCCGCACCTCGTAGCCCAACCGTCCATCTTTAATTGAACCAATTGGATGTCCCACCGATGCGCCGGGCATCGGACCCGGTGCAGCACGCAGGGCGAAGCGCGTGGACCTCCCTCTCGGTCGCGTCTCAAGACGGCGTTCGGCCGCTGCCGGAGCGTCACCGGAAGTGTAGATCTGTACAAGAACGAAGCAACGTCTGAAGAGCCAAGCACAGTGATCCATCGCCCGAGTTGTTTCACCTTCCACCGCCCAGGACCCGCATCGCCCGCGACGCTTCTCCGCCCGCGCCATCGCCCCAGCGGATTCTCCGCCGCTCAGGTGGACTGTTTCAGATTCTCTGCGCCCGAAATCACCTGGCAAAGGCTCGTTGCCGCGCACGTCTCAGAAAGGCTCGTCGCACGGAAGGGTGTGGGGAGATTCGGCCAGCGAACCTAGCTGCAGCTGACTCTTGTTTGAAGCAGTGGATGGAGATGGATCGAGCACCTGAACCTGAGGTGGTTGGAGGACTTCCATAAATCTGGGTCGTTGGAGGGCCCTAGCATGCCACCTGAGGTGCTTCCACCTGGTGTCGCCAGCTGACCCCAGAAAAACACAAATAAACAACATCGAAGTTTACCTTGGTTGCCCACCCCACCAATCGGACTTTTTGGTCAAACACGCATTTTGCCGACAAATTTTATGTCCATTCCCACCACTCAGAGATGTTCAGCATCAAGCGAGGGTCGAAGGCTTGTAAGGCCGCATAACTGGCCAACCTTGCAATTGATGTGACCAACAACGGTCCAGGGGAAATCTTTGGGCCGCTTGTTGCTTTCTCACAAATGCTGCATAGACCTTGGAGGAAGCCCTCGTGTTGTATGTTCCGGTGCTTTCGCCATACCATATGCCATTTTCCATTGATTGTCAAATGTCAACGACCAGCTGTCGGTGAACATCTTTTGCACACTATACCGGACCACACCCCTTAATTAAGACAGAGTATATAGTTGATCGTTAGATATCGTTAGATATCGTTATATAGATATCGTTAGATCTGACATTCAGAGAATGAGACATTGAAGCCGCGGCTGCCCGGTGGCTGTGACCTGAAACGGTGAGCTCAATAGCCCTTTCTTGCCGTCTTGCCATGGGCCCATCATGGCCCCAGGAAGCCCCCGCAGGTTCCTGGTATATATATGATGTGGTGATAAAAGGAACCACATTCAGTTCTTCAAAGATCAGTTCCTGCTAAGAGTTACCAAGCTCCGAACCTAAAGGTATCTTGGGTTGTCCAGCACGACTCCTTGGCCAAACCCGCCAAAAGAATCCCAAAGGTGGTAGGGAAGTGGAAGAGCGTCAAATCTACAGTCCCTTTTTGGAGGTACAAAGGTTGGTGCTCTGGATTCTAGGGACCTATTCATGAAGCATCTGTCTATCAAACACCCGGAGATCGATCCAACATCTTCGAGGAGTCCGTGGGTTTGGGTCCGAGTTCTGTGACACCCAGAACTTCTCCATTCACCACCCTCTTCTGCCAAAGAGTCACATCTTCTGCCAGTAGCACATGGCACCTCTCCGCCCAAGCTCCTCCCGTGCCACGCGCTGCCCCGCGCGGGCAATGGCCCGTGCGTCCGCGTCGTGCGTGCGGAGCCACTGCAGAGTCGCCGTCAAATTCGCAGTGCTGCAGCGGTCCCGGGCGAAGGGCACGAAGTGGACATAGGGTTGGAGATCTTTGTAGAAGTACTCCTGTCATGAAGGGTGGACATAGGGCTGGACATGAAGGCATATCTGCTGGGCTGATTGTTGGAAGGGTGCGAGACATGTAATCACTTTCGTGAAGATCCGTGAAGAACACATTGGGTATGTTTGGGGTATGGGTTGGTTACGGTTGTTTCTTTGGGGTTAGGTTGGGTTTGCGTAGCTTTTTACATCTTCCTTAGGAAAGCTCGGCGCCCAACTTGCAAATCCAACTGCCAGTTGTCGTTTGGGTGGTAGGAAAGCATACAACAAAGTGTAATACGAAATAGATCAACCTGGGATTGATGTGGACGCATGTCTAAACCCTTCTAAATTTGGTTTGACAAACAAAACACAGCGGTAGGATCACCCACCTCGGACCTTACAAGGCCGTTTGAGTTTCATACTCATCTTGCCGCCTGAGGTATATTGCCCCGGCAAATTTGGCAAAGGTATTTACATGTATTTACGGCCCTTCTAAACCTAAAGCACATGAAGCTGGTCCCTGGGAGGACCAGCGAACCACTTTGACTCATTGGACAAACGACGTGGTGGACAACGCTCCAATATCCAAGACACTCCATGGGACTGCCATATATGCCTACATTGGGGTGGTTTTAGGGGTCAATGTATGCATATATATGGCATACATGGAGTGTCTGGGATATAGGCTCCACACAGGCTCCTCATAGACGGAATCTTGTTTCAAGACCACTGAGCCCATCAGCAGAAGTTTCAAGAAGCGATTGCTGGCAGCAGTGCCGTCCAGGTGCAGCAAGTACTTGTGCTTGGCGTGCTCCTTAGGTGCGTGCGAATAATCTGATGGCAAGCAAAGCCGTCAGATGGTAGTGCGGGGAAGTATGAAGAGATTCTCAGTGGTCCTTCACTCTTGTTCTCTGCCAAATTTTATTGTTGAAGGCCAAACATGGCCTCTTCCCATAGGGCGTTGGTGCTCTCCGAAGAATCAAACATGAAACTCGGCCAGGTTTGTTCCATGGGCTCGGCGAGCATTTTGCACATTCGAAGACGCCCTAAGGCCCTAAGACTCTTTACCCATTGACTGTTCATCCATCTCCCCTGTCATCTTTTAGCCCCCCTGGGAGTCCTAGCCTAAACCATGGAATCCCCATCTTCCGCAGCTATATGGAGGGTGACTCCGAAGACGGCTAATTATAATCAATCATTATATAATCAGGTTGAACTGCTCAGGGTATCTCAAGGCTGCGGTCAATCGATACCAATAATAAAAACGAATTTGAGGTGCTAATGCCTTTACAGTATAGTATATTTTTATGATACTTTACAGTATGTCATTTTTGTTGGGCTGCCGTGGGCACAAACTAGGATTCTCCACGGTAAGCACATATTATTTGGCAACACCGGCTGCATTTGGCAGTGCATCTCACTTTGTTCATCACCCAGGGGACTCAAACTGTACAGTCACACCTAAGGCGATTCAAGCTGCACAGTCACAGCATGAGAAAAGGCCACACAAAAATACCCTTTGCGATGCGTCAAGATGACATCTGAAAGATCCCAGACTGGAAGCCGGTTCCAGTCGCTGCCAGGCTGCTTGACATGAACAACAGCAACACCAGCATCCAGATCCACATCCAAATCGAGCAACATTCCCACAGCCATTGCTGAAGAGGAATTGGCCTTTGTCCTTACCATGGTGCGATCGGCAAATCTCTTGACCAGCGACCCCCAGCGATTCACGAACATGGACTGGATGCCTTGGATGTCATTCCCCAAGCGATCGGAAAACACAAAGCCAATGCCATCTGATGCAGCCAGCTGACCTTGAAGTATCTTCACCCTGTAGCTGTGTCTCCCACCCTGTCGCAACATGGACTCATAGATCAGTTTCATTGCTCCTTCTCGTTTGGTTTTCGTGAAAACTTTTCCAGTCGCATCCAATGTACCGTAGCGAAGGGAGGAAGGATTCCACAAAGCAGTGATAGCTGCATGGTCGCTTGGTGATTGCGCCTCTGGTGGTTCCAACTCAGCCTGCTTGTAAGAAGCAGCAGGAACATACGAGTGCGGGACAAAGCTGATGAGAAAGCACTTCGAGAATTGATCTTGCATGAACGTGCTGTCAACCTCCACAAACTCCCCATCACAGCAGGTCGAGAAACTGCGTTCCCATTTGGTTGCGAAGCGGCGCAGCCGGGTTTCAAATCGAATCTGATGCAGCCGTGCATGAGTCTGAGGATACATGACCGCTCGCACCATTTTGACCACTCCTGCATTGGCCAGGCAGCGGAAAACAAACAATCTCCGGTTTGAGATGCTGTAGATCTTGCCTGATTCAGTGTTCACCAGTTCCATAGGAGGAAATGGTGTCATCACTGAAGGGCCATCGTTCAGGGCGGCAATGATGATGTCATCTAGAGCGTCACCAGACCTAAATGTTGAAGAGATTGATGCATGGGTGAAGCGAATCTCTAAAGGATCCACCTCCACCACAGTACCACCCGCTCTCAGCACAAGGTCATGGCGAATTGCACTCCTTTCCTGCATTCCATGTGGTTGTGGTTGCTCTTCTCGTTGCTGTAGTTGTTGCTGGTGGCTCTCCTGCTGTGGTCTGGTTATTGTTCCTGTTATTGCTGCTGGTTGTTCTTATTGATGTTTTTGTTGGCCTTCTGGAATCTCCTCCATACCGGAGTGGCGGCAGCATATTGGGACAACTAGCACTCAAACGAGTTTTCGAGCGCGCTCTAGATACAGTTTTGCTTGCATGACCATCAAGTTGACCAAGTCACGGGCAGCGACACTGGTGGCACCTCAGGCGACTCGCAGTGGGACCCCATCAAAAAAAACTCGCATTGGGACCGTCTGCAGATTCAAAAACTTCATCATATATCGGGTATGTTATTTCTACACCTCAGTCTCAGTCTGTGCCCCATCGAGACAAATGAGAAAAACAGCACATTTGACTTGTCTTGGGTGAGAAAGACTAAGACTACGTGAAAGGAATGGAACGTGGTGGAACATGGGCCCCAGCAAGCTCCGAAAGCGCTCACGGCCCAGATGTGTGGAGCCTGAACAGATGTTCCAACCCGGCTCGGACGCTTTGGTGTCACACATCGTGTCTTTCTTCGGCGGTCACCAGGGCGTGCGATGTGAATTACACAACCAAGACTGTGACAAGTTGGCAAAGCACATCACCACAAGGTCAATACATCTTTCGGTCTTCTGGCACTCAAAGATTCATCCAACTTCGATCCGAATAGGGTCTGATCTCAAAGCACAACTGGATCAACCCAGTTTCAACAAAACACGGAACCAACATGAACCAACAAAGGGTTTGCTACTCAGTGTTGCAGTCCCCTATCTGCTAACAAAAAAGGTGCTGAAACAAGTCTCAACTTCTTTCATCCTACTTCTAGTGACTTCCTTTTCTCTCAAGATTCTCCAGTCAAAGGTCGGCTTTTGAAGCCACTCAGTCATTGACCCTGCCTTCCCTCCACCGAACATCTTTAACATCCACCCCCAAAACCTTGGCACCTTCAGCACTCCTTGCCAGGGTGCGTAGCGCTGCTTGGGATGCTCTTTCTTCACAAAGTCCTCAGTTCTGCGGCTGAACGGTCGTGCCGTGGCACCGGTTCACACGGTCAACGCCCGAGCCGAGCCG